GCAGTGAACCACCATGAACCACACTGAGGCAGTGAACCACCATGAACCACACTTACTGAGGCAGTGAACCACCATGATCCACACTTACTGAGGCAATGAACCACCATGAACCACACTTACTGAGGCAGTGAACCACCATAAACCACACTTACTGAGGCAGTGAACCACCATGAACCACACTTACTGAGGCAGTGAACCACCATGAACCACACTTACTGAGGCAGTGAACCACCATGAACCACACTTGCTGAGGCAGTGAACCACCATGATCCACACTTACTGAGGCAGTGAACCACCATGAACCACACTGAGGCAGTGAACCACCATGAACCACACTGAGGCAGTGAACCACCATGATCCACACTTACTGAGGCAATGAACCACCATGAACCACACTTACTGAGGCAGTGAACCACCATGAACCACACTTACTGAGGCAGTGAACCACCATGAACCACACTTACTGAGGCAGTGAACCACCGTGAACCACACTGAGGCAGTGAACCACCATGAACCACACTAAGGCAGTGAACCACCATGAACCACACTTACTGAGGCAGTGAACCACCATGATCCACACTTACTGAGGCAATGAACCACCATGAACCACACTTACTGAGGCAGTGAACCACCATAAACCACACTTACTGAGGCAGTGAACCACCATGAACCACACTTACTGAGGCAGTGAACCACCATGAACCACACTTACTGAGGCAGTGAACCACCATGAACCACACTGAGGCAGTGAACCACCATGAACCACACTGAGGCAGTGAACCACCATGATCCACACTTACTGAGGCAATGAACCACCATGAACCACTTACTGAGGCAGTGAACCACCATGAACCACACTTACTGAGGCAGTGAACCACCATGAACCACACTTACTGAGGCAGTGAACCACCATGAACCACACTTACTGAGGCAGTGAACCACCATGAACCACACTGAGGCAGTGAACCACCATGAACCACACTTACTGAGGCAGTGAACCACCATGAACCACACTTACTGAGGCAGCGAACCACAATGAACCACGCTTACTGAGGCAATGAACCACCATGAACCACGCTTACTGAGGCAGTGAACCATCAAGAACCACGCTTATTGATGCAGTGAACTATCATGAACCACACTTTCTGAGGCAGCGAACCATCATGAGCCAGACTGAGGCAGTGAACCACCATGAACCACACTTGCTGAGGCAGTGAACGATCATGAACCACACTTATTGATGCAGTGAACCATCAAGAACCACACTTACTGAGGCAGTGAACCATCATGAACCACATTTACTGAGGCAGTGAACCATCATGAACCACACTGAGGCAGTGAACCATCATGAACCACACTTACTGAGGCAGTGAACCATCATGAACGACACATACTGAAGCAGTGAACCATCATGAACCACACATACTGAGGCAGTGAACCATCATGAACCACACTTACTGAGGCAGTGAACCATCATGAACAACACATATTGAGGCAGTGAACCATCATGAACCACACTGAGGCAGTGAATCATCATGAACCACACTTACTGAGGCAGTGAACCATCATGAACCACACTTACTGAGGCAGTGAACCATCATGAACTACACTTACTGAGGCAGTGAACCACCATGAACCACACATACTGAGGCAGTGAACCATCATGAACCACACATACTGAGGCAGTAAACCATCATGAACCACACTTACTGAGGCAGTGAACCATCATTAACCACACTGAGGCAGTGAACCATCATGATTCACATACCGAGGCAGTGAACCATCATGAGCCACACTTACTGAGGCAGTGAACCATCATGAACCACACTTACTGAGGCAGTAAACCATCATGAACCACACGTACTGAGGCAGTGAACCATCATGAACCACACTTACTGAGGCAGTGAGCCATCATGAACCACACACACTGAGGCAGTGAACCATCATGAACCACGCTTACTGAGGCAGTGAATCACCATGAACCACGCTTACTGAGGCAGTGAACCACCATGAACCACACTTACTGAGGCAGTGAACCATCATGAACCACACTTATTGATGCAGTGAAACATCATGAACCACACGTACTGAGGCAGTGAACCACCATGAACCACACTGAGGCAGTGAACTACATGAACTACACTTACTGAGGGCATGAACCACCTTAAACCGTTCTTGCTGAGGCAGTGAGTCTTGAACCACATTGAGGTAGTGAACCCCCATGAACCACAGTTACTGAGGTAGAGATCCACCGTGAACCACACTTACTGTGGCAGTGAACCACCGTGAACCACATTTACTGAGGTAGTGAACCCTCATGAACCACACTTACTGAGGTAGTGAACCATGAACCGCACTTACCGTGGAGAAGGACCAACATGAACCACACTGTCCCTGGTCCTTGACTTCAGTGACAGCACCCTTGGTTCTCCAATCAACGTCAGCCTCCCTGGTTCTACCTGGTTCAGCTCGGTACACTGAGGTAGACTTTGGTCTGACA